CCTAAGTTTGATCCTGGGTCCCACAGTGGAAGGAGAAAACTGACCCCTGGACGTTGGCTCTGACCTCTGTACATCTACACTCACACGTGATGATAATAATTTCATTAAAAGTAGACACAGCACCAGGTCGTGATGGTGCAGCCTTCAATCCCAGCACTGGGGAGGCAGAGGCAGGCGGATCTCTGAGTTCGAGACCAGCCTGGTCTATAAGAGCTGGTTCCAGGGTAGGCTCCAAAGCTACAGAGAAACCCTGTCCCAAAAAGCCATAAAAAAAAAAGAAAAGAAAAGAAAAAAGAAATAAACTAATGTAATTGCTGCTCGCTTAACCAATTATATCGCTGTACTTAAAAGGAGCCTGCGGGGCTGGAGAGATGGCTCAGAGGTTAAGAGCATTGACTGCTTTTCCAGAGGTCCTGAGTTCAAATCCTAGTAACCACATGGTGGCTCACAACCATCTGTAATGAGATCTGGTGCCCTCTTCTGGCCTGAAGGCAAACATGCAAGCAGAACACTGTGTACATAATAAATAAAATCTTTAAAAAAAACTGTGTATATAATAAAGAAATAAATCTTAAAAAAAAAAAAAGGAGCCTGCACTTTCCTCTGGAGTCATGACCATTTTGTACAGGTGAACTGCCCCACTGCATGTTGATATAATCAATACTCAGCCCTTACATACCATTTGAGTCTGGGGTTTTCCTTCAGCGTTTCCTCAGACCCTACAATTATATTACCTCCTTTTTTTGTTTTTTTTTTTTGCTTTTCTTTTTCTTTCTTTCTTTCTTTCTTTCTTTTTTTTTTTTTTTTCGAGACAGGGTTTCTCTGTGGTTTTGGAGCCTGTCCTGGAACTAGCTCTTGTAGACCAGGCTGGTCTCGAACTCACAGAGATCCGCCTGCCTCTGCCTCCCAAGTGCTGGGATTAAAGGCGTGCTCCACCAACGCCCGGCCATATATTACCTCTTTTTTAAGACAAGGTCCCACTTAGCCCAGGCTGGCTCTGAACTCCATGTGTGACCTAGGATGACCTTGAAGTTCAGAGTTCTCTTTCTACCTTTAGAGTCCTATGGCCAGTTTATATGGCCCTCAGAATGGGACCCAGGATGTTGTGCTTGTTTGGCAATTGAACTACACCCCAACCCTCCTCCTCCTCTTCTACTTCTTTTTGGGTTTTCTGAGTCAGGGTTTCTCTCTCTAGTCCTGGTCTCTGTGAGTTTGAGGCCAGTCTGGTCTACCAGTTGAGTTCTAGGACAGCCAGGGCTATACAGAGAAAGCCTGTCTTGAAAAGCCAAAAAAAAAAGAAAAAAAAGAAAGGAAGGGAGGGAGGAAAGGAAGGAAGGAAGGAAGGAAGGAAGGAAGGAAGGAAGGAAGGAAGGAAGGAAGGAAGGAAGGGGAGTAAGGTAAATCTGATATAGCAAGAGCAAGACCCCTTGACATCCTCTTCTGACCTCTGTAAGTGCCTATGTGTGCGCACGCACATGCACGCGCTCTCTCGCACAAGCACTCACACACACACTAAAGAAGTCAGTGCCTTCCCTTATCCTTCAGCAGCCCTTATTGCTGAGGTCTGCAGGCTGCTTCCTCCTCTGCTTTAGTCTTTGGACTAGCCATACTTGGGTCCCGATCTATCCTGCGAGGGGAAGAGAATCACCTGAGGGCATCATCTCCCCATTGCTCACTTTCACCGCTAGAGACTAAGATGTTACATAATTAGCCAAAGTCACATAAGAGGATTCTATGGAATAGTTTAGGATTAAATTTAGGAAGGCGACATTAGGAACTCTTTGGGGTTCCCATATGTGTTCCTAAGTGTGGCAACGTGGGGAAGCTTAATTAGACTACCTGCTGTTACCCAGCACCAGGCCTTTTAGGATTAATTAAAAACAAACGCTCGGTTCTCAGAAAATTGCAGAAGCCAATGGCAGGCTGAGGGAAGAGGTTTGCTGAGTAAGGAGGTGGGTCCCCTTCCGGTAAAGCCAGGAACCCCGCGTGTGCGCTTCTAAATTGGCCCCAGCAGATTTTTCTAGGCAAGTGTGCTATGGTGAAGTCAACCATTTAGCCTCTGGGGATCTCTGCCGTTTACTGTGAAATTCCCCCCCTCCCCCCCACTGATGGTAGTGTGCCTGTACTTGTTTCCTGTGGCCCAGTTCTGGGTCGCGTTGTAAGGCGGTGCCACGTGATCTTAACCTACTTTGTTTCCCCCAGTGCTTCAGCAAATAACAGCTGCAGTGACACCCACAAAAAAATACGCCTGCCCTCCAAGCAGCACCCACAAAATACGCCTGGCCTCCAAGCAGCACCAGTTCACCTTGCTGTGCGCCGGGCGCTCTCTCATCTGAAGGACTCGGCTCCTAGCAAACGCTAATCACGCTCCTCAAACACCTCATTGATACCGAGTTGCTTGCCCTGCTACCTCCGTCTTATGATTGGGCAGCCTCCGATGAAGGACAAACCTGGGTCAGGAGCCCAGCTCCATTTGCCTGCTTAAACACTTGGCTCTGAGCCTGTGAGAAGTAATGGCCCCAGCTCCTTGCTCCTAGGAGTCTGCAAACAAAAGTGACTAGGGGCGCCTCTGAAAGGCCGGGCTGGCTTTTGACGCTGAGTCGGTCTCTTTATTTAGTCTGGCTAAATGTCTTTTGTGCTTGAATTCTCTAGTCAAAAAAGAGAGAGGAAGGGAAGGAGGGAGGGAGGGAGGGAGGGAGGGAGGGAGGGAGGGAGAGAGAGAGAGAGAGAGAGAGAGAGAGAGAGAGAGAGAGAGAGAAGAGAAAAGAAAAGACAACCCTTTACATTTACACTAGAGCGGGTGTCTATGTCGTCATCCCGAGCAGTTCCAGCCGTTTCTGGTCTTTTCTTCCCTTTTTCCTTCCTCTCAGGACAGGACAACATAACTCTTTTTGTTGGCGGTCAGGGTGGACTTTGGAATCAAGCTGGCCAGTGCTGCCCCCCGGAGGTTGCACATGCAGCTGCGGGTCGAAGACCTAGCTAGACAATGGGGAAGAAACAAGGACAAAGGTTCCAAGAAAGGACCCCAGGGGTTGTTGTCATTGTAACACAAGAAACTTCTGCTCACATACTGTTTTGTTTTGTTTTTTGAGAAGGGTGACCTGGAATTCACTGTGTAGCCCAGTCCTATTCCCAGATAACCTCACACTTAAAGCAATCCTCTTACCTCAAAAAGGCTGGGATCACGCGAATGGACCACCATGCCCAACTCCTCTTGTTTATCCTACTTGCTCGGCATCTTGCTGGCAAAATCAGCATACCTAGGTTCATCTCCTGAGGTCTCTGCCTGGAAGTCCCACCTACCTCTCCTGCCTAGCTATTGGCCATTCACTTTTTTTTTTTTAATTAAATCAATTACAGCAACACAGTGTAAACTAATATCCCACAACAGTACTTGGGTCCTCTGCAAAGAGCAGCCAGTGCTCCTAACCATGAGCATCTCTCCAGCCCTGCTCGTTTTGTTGTTGTTTGGATGATTTGTTATTATTATTATTATTATTATTATTATTATTATTATTACAGAGTCTACATAGCCCTGGAACTCAGTCTGTACACCAGGCTGGCCTCAAACTCACCGAGATCCACCTGCCTCTGCTTCAGCCCGAGGACCTGAGTTCAAGCCTCAGGACCCATATAATGGAAGTAGAGAGCAATTTAAAAATGAAATAAACTGGGTGGTGGTGCGCGCACGCCTTTAGTCCCAGCACTTGGGGAGCAGAGGCTGGTGGGTCTCTGTGAGTTCAAGGCCAGCCTGGTCTACAAGAGCTAGTTCCAGGACAAGCTCCAAAGCTACAGAGAAACCCTGTCTCAGAAAGAAAGAAAAAAAAGAAAGAAAAAGAAAAATGAAATAAAAGGAAGAGGACTGACTTCTTCTAAAATATGGAGAGGCTTTTATTATAGATATAAGGGAGAAAGCAACCGAGGAAAGAGTCCAGGCTGATCACAGCCAGCAGACGAAACCAGACCAGGAGAGGAGAGAGCAAGAGAGGAGCCAAGAGGCCACATGATGTCAACATGGATGCTATATGGGGATCAGGAGTTGGGGCAGCGGTGAGGTGCGGAAGCCCAGCGCCTGGGAGGGAAAGGTTTAGAGTTGGGGTGGAGTGAGGAATGCTGGGAGGGGCCACAGGTACTGCTTGGTGCTGGGAGAGCTGGCCAGCATCTGCTTTGAGACATACCAGGCACTTCAGTTAGCCATTTGTCCCTGGTTTCTGAGACCTAACAGAGACAGACTTCCACAGTGCCCACCTCTCTCCGCAACATGAAGGTAATAAAAAAATCTTAAATAAAAATGAGACTGTCTTAGAGGAGCCCAAGCTCATGTTCTCAGGCGTGTCTTACTTTCTCCTCAAATGCCTCTGGCTTAGCATCTATATTTAAAAATATCTCGTAGGCTTGGCAAGATGGCTCAGAAAGAAAGATAAATGCTGCCAAGATCGGGGTCTGAATTCAATCTCCACAGCCCACAAGGTGGAGGGAGATAGCATATTGCAGAAATTGGAATGTGTCCACATCCCCCACATACACACAAATAAATAAATAACATGAATGCAATTTTAAAATGCCTTTAGGGGCTGGAAAGATGGTTCCATGGTGAAGAACACTTGCTGTTCTTCTGGGGAACCCAAATTATGTTTTCAGCACCCACATTAAATGGTCCACAGTGCCTGTACCTTGACCTCAGAAGACACAACACCCACTCTGACCACTGTGGCCACCCACACACATTTGGCTTCCACTCACATACGCATATACACAAATACTTGAAAGATTGATTTATTTGATGTGTTTGGGTGTTTTGCCTGCATGTATGTCTGTGTACCAAGTATGTGCCTGGTGCCCATGGAGGCCAGAAGAGTTCACTGGATCCTCTGGAACTGGACTTACAGATGGCTGTGAGCTGTCATGTGGGTGCTGGGAGTCAAACCCAGACCTTCTGCAAGAGCAGCCAGGGCTCTTAACTGGAGCCATTTCTCCTCCCTCAAAAATTAAGCCTTTTGTGCTCGCTTCGGCAGCACAATACTAAAACTGGAACAATACAGAGAAGATCAGCACGGCCCCTGCGCAAGGAGGATCTGCAAATTCGTGAAGCGTTCCATATTTAAAAAAAATACACCTTTTTAAAAATAGAGATAGATAAATCAAATAGAAAGTTTTAAAAATCTGGTTTTTCTTTATATCTATATTCCCCAGCTTTGGTTAAGATGGTTCGCCCTGCTGGGCAGTGGTGGCACACGACTTTAATCCCAACACTGAGGAGGCAGAGGCAGGAGGATCTGTGAGTTCAAGTCCAGCTTGGTCTACAGAGCAAGTTCCAGGATAGCCAAGGCTACACAGAGAAATCCTGTCTTGAAAAAAACAAAACAAACAAAACCCAAAAGACAAAACTTGTCACCCTGCTGAACCCATCTGGTTCAGGTAGCAAGCTTTCTTTGGGGGAATTCCCTGTCTCTGTCTCCCGCTCCCAACCCCTCCCCCCCAGTCTGGAATTATGGGTAGGCTGCCATGTCCAGTCACATGGGTGCTGGGTCTTACAGTGGTATTATCAGAGGTGAGCAAGGAGACACAGTTTATAGACTATTGGAAATCTTTATTCCAGCCAGCTGGGACAACACTCAGGCATTGGGGACCCAAGCATGGCCCCAAGTGTATTTTTTGGTTTGTTTTTTTGAGACAGGGTTTCTCTGTGTAGGTTTGGAAACTCGCTATGCAGACCAGGCTGGCCTCGAACTCACAGAGATCCGCCTGCCTCTGCCTCCCAAGTGCTGGGATTAAAGGTGTGAGCCACCACTGCCAGATGGGTAAGAGGTATTTAAAGGCAAAAGCCACACCCTGGCATCTTGCTTGGCAGCTGCAGGAGACACTTCACACCTCGGGAAGTTAACAGCTGCTATGAGAAGTTAGTTGGGGCATCTTGACCTTGGGCTCTAGAATGAAGCTGGACAGTTTTCCACGGGGTTCACCATCAAGATCAAGTTTTAGTTAAACCTAAAGTGACCCCATTTCAAAGATGGGTGCCAGGGGGCTGGAGAGATGGCTCAGTGGTTAAGAGCTCTGCCTGCTCTTCCAGAGGTCCTGAGTTCAATTCCCAGCAACTCACAACCATCTGTAATGAGATTTGATGCCCTCTTCTGGCCTACAGGCATACACACAGGCAGAGCACTGTATACATAATAAAATAATTAAAAAAAAAAAAAGATGGGTGCCAGGGGCTGGGATGAGGCCCCCGAATATAATAACCCCCCTCCAGGAACCTCTTGGCGTGCCGTCTTGGCCTGTCAATTGGGGATCCAAACGCCCTCGCAGCTTTTCCCCGTGGGACATCTTTCCAGGGCTCTGAAGAAGGTCTTTCTCCTTTGCTCCTCTTTTAAGCTCTCTTCTACACACGCGGAGGTTTTGCGTTTCTTGCCTTAGCTACGTCTAGTCTAGAAAGTTCCTATCCTACCCCTTTAGAAGAGGAGGGGGCCTCGGGCCTAAATGAATACCTAGCCTAAACCTCTCCCCTAGTGACCGGATCCCTCCCTGTCTCTGAGAATTTTTGCTTTGGTTTCTTGGAGGCCTTCAGTGTGGGGTTTCCTACCTAAATTCGACTGGTTCGGGGCTCGAGGGACGGCTCAGGAGCACCCAAGTCAGGCAAGCGTTCCGTTACTCTGGGGGACAGGATACCCTTTCTGGTCTCCAAGGGCACCTGTGCTCACGTGCACGCTCCTCCACACATAATTAGAAATAAAACGATTAATTAAAAATTAAAACCCTGCCAGCATGGTCTACAAGTGCTAGTTCCAGGACAAGCTCCAAAGCCACAGAGAAACCCTGTCTCGAAAAACCAAAAAAAAAAAAAAAAGGAAAAAAAATTAAAACCCTTTTTTGGGTTTCTCTGTGTAGTGTGCCCCACCCCCCACCTCATCCCGTGACTCATTTTGTAGACCAGCCTGTCCTGGAACTCATGAGATCCACCTGCCTCTGCCTCCAGAGTGCTAGGACTAAAGGTGTAAGCCTCCACCACCCAGGTGGGAAAAACAAAATGGAAAAAACCAAAACTCTTTTTAAAAAAGAAATCTGGTTCAATGATGCTAAATACAGAGCAATGGAATTCGCGCTGTTTCCCCTCCACACCCCCAGCCCTCGGCTGAATGAACGTAGAGAGCCTAACAATGAGCCCGCAGCGAACGGCTTTTGGTTAAAAATGGGGAGGAATGTTTCTGGCCAGCTCCGGCTGCTGTGGCTGTAATCCACCCATTGTGGTTTAGAGCTCTTCCTGCTGTTCTTTAGAACAAGTGAATGACAAAAGCCTCAATTTCTTTCCTTCCCTTCCTTTGAAAAGGCGGTGGAAGCCAGATTAGGTAGCACGGGTCTGTCTTCTAGTCTACGAGAATGGCGGAGGTGTAGGGGGGGAGGGGGGAGGGGTGGAGCAAGGTTATCCTGGGTCTCTTAGAGTCTGAGCTGGGCTATAAGGGAGCCTGTCTATGAAGAAAAGAAGGATGAGAAAGAGGACCAGGAGGAGAAAAAAGGAAAAAAAAAAAAGAAAGGGAGGGAGGGAGGAAGCAGTGCTTATGCTTAGGGCAGTGGTACTCAACCTGTGAGTCCCGACCTCTTGGGGTTGAACGACCCATTCACAGGGGTCGCCTAAAGACCACTGGAAAACGTATTTACATTACGACTTATAACAGTAGCAAAATTACAGTTATGAAGTACTACGAAAATAATTTTGTGGTTGGGGGTCACAGTTAAAGGGTCGCAGCATTAGGAAGGCTGAGAACCACTGCCCTGAAGAGCTGTCCCCTTTAAGAAGCTGTTCACGCCATAGAGTTCATTCTTTTACCAAAAGGCTGAGTTTGGCCCTGGGGGAAGAATCAGGCTCAACAAGTAGGTTAGGTGAAGATTCCTCAGAGTGCTCTGAGCCCCGGGCTGAAAAGGGAAGCCTGAAACTGGCTAGGCTAGGTCAGGTCCTCACCAATTCACCATCCACTTCCTCCCACTTCCTCAGCCCATTATCAGAGTAAGTAGGGCTGGGGCTTAACTCTGGCCTCAGGCATAGCCCCTGGTGTGGGAAGATTCTTAAAAATTTCCCCTCATTCAGGCTGTAGAAGTGGCTCAGATGTTAAGAACGCGCAGCACACTCTGCTTTCTGGTTTTTCTAGTTTTTTTTTTTTTTTTGAGATAATGTCTAAGTAGAGCCTGGATCTCGACTGTGCAGACCAACCTGGTCTGGAACTCACAGAAATCCACCTGCCACTGCCTCCTGAGAGCTGGAACCACACCCAACTTACTGGTATTAATTTTTGTTATTGTTGTTGGGTTTTTGTGTGTGTGTGTGTGTGTGTGTGTGTTTTGTTTCTTGAGGAAGGGCTTCTCTGTGTCCCAGCCCGAGGTGTCCTGGAACTCTTGTAGACCAGGCTGAAGTTGAACTCACAGAGATCCGCCGACCTCAGCCTCCCAAGCGCTGGGATTGAAGGAGTGCACCACCACCGCCCAGCCCAGTTTTTAAAGATCTGAAGCACCTCCCAGAATGGAAGCATTCCACAGTTCACGGACCCTAATTTAGAGGCGTTTTCCTGTGAACTTGTAATTGTGCTTATTAACTCCTTCTTCACAGAAGGCTCTCCCACCCTGCCCAGTAGCTGCCTTCCTACGTGGTGATGGAAAGGAAGACACCCTTAGTTCAGCAGGGCTGTAAAACACAGAACTTGGGACTTTGGCCTTATTTCCCCAGAAGGCCTAGAGGGCAGATATTGGCCTTTGCTCTCCCAGACGTGTTTGAGTGTTTTGCATACACGTATGTCTGCACAGGTGTGCCTTGCTCAGAAGCGGACAGCGGACCCCCTGCAACTGTTGTTATTGATGGCCGTGATTCATTATGTGGGTGCTGGTATTCGAACCCAGGTCCTCAACCAGAACAACAAGTATTCTTAACCAGTCAGCCATATTTCCAGCCCCTCTGGCTTTTTTAAAATTGATTTTTCTGAGCCAGGCAGTGGTGACACACGCCTTTAATCCCGGCATGTGAAGGCAGAGACAGGTGAATCTCTGTGAGTTTGAGGCCAGCCTGGCCTAAAAGAGCGAGTTCCAGGACAGGTTCCAAAACTACAGAGAAAACCTGTCTCAGAAAACAAAAAAATATTTTTTTGTGTGTGCATACAGGTGTGTGATTGGGGAAGGGTGTCCCATTGTGTCCTGTGCTGGTCAGAGGACAACATACCAAAAAAAAAAAAAAGAGTAGGGAGGTCTAGGAAGGTAGCTGTCAGGTAGGTTCATCACAAACCTTACCCAACTGAGCAGGTGTCACACATAGTGGGAGGTGGTTGGAGGAGGGTCACCGCAAGTTCGAGGCCAGTCAGTTGTACATAGTGAATTCCAGGACAGCCCAGAGCTGCCAAAACAATAGGGCTGTCCCAATGACTCATGGGTACAAGGACTTGCCACATATGCCTGATACCCTGAATTTTATCCATGGTTGGAGGAGAGAACTGACATCATAAAACTGCCCTCTAGCCTTCAGATGCATGCCATAGCATGCTTATCTGCATGTATCATACACAGATAGATTTATATATGACAGATGTGTGTGTATAGACACTACGGATCATAACGGTGAGGGGTCTGAGGGTGTGGCTCAGTAGTAGACTTGCTTAGCATGAAAGAGGTTCTGAATTGTCCCTCATCAGCGCTACATCAATAAATAAATTATAGGGGTTTTTTGTTTGCTTGTTTGTTGCTGCTGTTTTTGTTATTTACTTTTTTTTTATTTTTTGAGACAGCTGTGTGTAGCCCTGGCTGTCCAGGAACTTAATCTGTAGACCAGGCTGGCCTTGAGTTCAGAGACCCACCCTTCCTTCTCTGCTTCCGAAGTGCTGGGATTAAAGGTGTGCTCCACCACCATCTGTCTTTGGGTTTATAAAAAGTTTTGTGGGGCTGGAGAGATGGCTCAGCGGTTAAGAGCATTGCCTGCTCTTCCAAAGGTCCTGAGTTCAATTCCCAGCAACCACATGGTGGCTCACAACCATCTGTAATGGGGTCTGGTGCCCTCTTCTGACCTGCAGGCCTATGTGAAGACAGAATATTGTATACATAACAAATTTTTTAAAATATTTATTTATTTATTTATTATGTATACAATATTCTGTCTGTGTGTATGCCTGCTGGCCAGAAGAGGGCACCAGACCTCATTACAGATGGTTGTGAGCCACCATGTGGTTGCTGGGAATTGAACCCAGGACCTTTGGAAGAGCAGGCAATGCTCTTAACCACTGAGACATCTTAACATAATAAATTTTTATAAAAAAATAATAAATAAATAAAAAATAAAATAAAAAGTATTGTGTCTGTTCTAAGGGATTCAGGTAATGAAGAAATGAAGAAAGCAGTACCACAGGGCCCAACAATTCACTTGTATACTTAGGAGGCAGGAAAGCATTTGTCCTCACACAGAGCCAGTATGTGAATGTCCGTAGTGGCCCTCTCTGCAATAGCTAACTGTGAGAAAAGGCTTTGTCAGTCAGCTAAGGAGTGCCCAGGCAGAAAGGGCAGGTTTTCGCGTGGGGTATTACTTCACAATAGAAGGACTGAGTATGTTACACGCTACAGCTCCCCCGTTCATGGCTCCCTCTCCCTTTCAAAACGAGGTCTATGCTGGGCAGTGGTGGCACATGCCTTTAATCCCAGCACTCCGGAGGCAGGCGAATCTCTGTGAGTTCAAAAGTCAGCCTGGTCTACAGTGCTAGTTCCAGGATGGCTAGTCTGTTACATAGAGAAACCCTGTCTGGGGAAGTGGAGGTGGGGAGCAGGGTCTAGACGTGTAATCCTGGCTGGCCTGAAACCCTAAAACTGGCCTTGAACTTGGGGTGTTCCTCCTGCATCTGCCTCCTGGAATGCTGTGGTTTAAAGGTGTGCACCACCACATCTGGCTTTTCTAAAACTTTTTAAATTTTATTTTTTTATGTTTATGGGTGTTTTGTCTGCACACAGGTCTAGGAGAGCATCTGATCACCGAGACTGGAGTTACAGACAGGTGTGAGCTGTCATGTGGGTGCTGAGAATTGAACCTAGGTCCTCTGGAAGAGTAGCCAGTGCTTTTAGATGCTGAGCCATCTCCCCAGCCCCCTGTAGCACGCTTACAGATCTGGTCTAGAAAAAGAGATTTCTAGAATTTCTAGGTCAATAGGTCGTAACAGATTTCCACATGACTCTTGGTTAAAATTCTTCATTTACTTCTCTTCAAATTCCCAATTGGTTATGCATTCGCTGAACAAATATTTACTAAGGGCTGATCCTGTACGGCTGACAATTGAGTAAAACAAACAAGTCACCCGGCCGGAGAGGGGGCTCACATTCATGACCTGTGACCAGGGACTGCCCTTCCTCCATGCCTTCCACAGACTGACCTCAGCCCAACATCTTCCCTTCCTTATAGCAGTCCACCCCTCCCCCACAACCGCACCCCATTCCTTTTTGGTTGTTTCATACCCTCCAGGCTATCTCACCTGAGAAAATCTGGCTTCTGCCCACTTCCCCACCTGGCCTCCTGGGAGCTCACGGTCACACGCAGTCTTCGTGGGTGGCGCGCTCATTTGCACTCCGTGTTAGTCTCTCTACAACATAAGGACATAGTTCTCTTTCCTAGGGCTGTCCCCGCCATGTTAGTGCCTGGCACCTGCTAGGTCCTTTATCCGTGGTTGCCACCTGGTGGCTATTCCCTAAGGTCCTTGGCCCAGGAGTTCCCTGGTAAGTTTGGTCTCTGGGGAGCCCTGCAACCAATTTTTGTTGCGGTGCTTAATGAACCTGTTTTCTGATCAGCCCGTGGGGGGAAGGGAAGGATCCAGTCAGAGCAGGGGATTTGGCATTGCTTAGGCCCAGGAGAAGGAAGCGCACTACATGCAGCCTGCGCCCGGGTGGCGGGTCAAGCCCTGACTCAGACTGTGGAAGAGCCACAGTGGAAACTTACCGGCCTCGGATGGATGGGGGGGGGGGGCGGGGGGACGGGGAGGGTGCTGAGAGGGAAATGTAGACGTGGCCTCCCAGTCGGTGCCCAAAGGGCAGAGCAAGGAAAGGAAGCCAGCTGATGCCCCTCCCACGCAAGCCACGCCCCTCTCCCCCGGGAATCAAGGAGGTTGCACCTCCCTCCGCAGAGCGAGGATCAAGCATAGCACACAGAAGGAAGTGTGAACCTTGGACACAGTGACAGGCTTCACCTGGGGCAAATCAACTGTGACGCGTGGAGGCTGCTTGTCCTGCTTCCCAGGACAGGACTGTCCGGCCCTTGCCCTCACGCTGACTCTAATTTCATCTGTGCAGCCCCATTCCTCTACCTTCCCTCCTCCAGCCTGATGCTGTCTGTAAGTGGATATTGGAAGGTCATAGACTGTGCTAAGGTTAGGCAGGAAGTGGAAGTCAGGGCACCTGGGGTGTGGCTACTACCAGTCAGTGAGGGACTCTCACCCACTCTGAAGTCCGACTCCTGGGAGCTGGGCTCCGTAGCCTAGGGGTTTCTTACCTCTACAGGCATTTTTTCCTGTCAAGAAAGGAGCTAGCTATATAGCTCCGTCTAGACTGAAACACACTATGTAGACTAGGTTAGCCTCAGCAGCAATCCTCCTGCCCCCGCATTCCAAGTGCTGGGATTATATGCCGCCATGCCCGGCTTTCATCTCAAAGATTCTCCCTGGTTTGTGGATGCTCCTTCTTGCTTCCACCTTCATCTTTTAGATCTGTTGGGATTGTTTGACTGTCCCACTCCCCAGGACAGTCGGTTGTGTCCTGTACACGCTCTGCTATGCACCTTGCCTGGCTGTGCCCCCAATACTCTATGCTCACCCCTTTCTCCTGCCTTGCTCTTCAGGATAGCAGTGGAGCAGGTGCACAGCACACAGTTCCTCTTGTTTCTACCCCATGCGACTGACCACTCTGCCCAGCACCGGCCTGCCTTTCGAAGGAGTCCAAAGGGGATGAGAAATCCCAGCACCTGTGAGGGGGAGGATCAGGGTTCAAGGTCATCCTGGTCTGCACGGCTGGAGTTGGAGGCCAGCCTGGATTAAGTCAGACCCTGTGGAAAAATAAACTGGAGAGATGGCTCAGAGGTTAAGAGCATTGCCTGCTCTTCCAAAGGTCCTGAGTTCAATTCCCAGCAACCATATGGTGGTTCGCAACCATCTGTAATGAGGTCTGGTGCCCTCTTCTGGCCTGCTGGCATACACACAGACAGAACATTGTATACATAATAAATAAATAAATATTAAAAAAAGAAAAATAAACAAAATAGGGCTGGAGAGATGGCTCAGCGGTTAAGAGCATTGATTGTTCTTCCAGAAGTTCTGTGTTCAATTCCCAGCAACCACATGGTGGCTCACAGCCACCTATAATAAGATCTGGTGCCAACTTCTGGCCTGCAGATAACATGCTGGCAAAACATTGTATATATAATAAATATAAAATATTTATATAAAATATATATAATATATATTATATAATAAATAAATATAAAAAATAAACAAAATAGATGGGGTGGAGACACAGGAGGACCTCCACTGGAGTCACATGGAACCTTTGCTGCTTCTGCAAATGACAGGCACAGCTAGTCACCTTCAGGAGGCCATGATTCAATGCCTTCCAAAGTGTGGGTTGTGCCCCCAAAATGGTGGTGTCTCGTGTTGGCAAGACTTCATGCATCCTCAGCTGTCTGTCACCTGACTAAGAATCTGCCAGACCCTAAGTCTACCACTAACCCAGGGGAACAGGGCTGCCTCTCCTGGCCTTCCAGCCTCACCCCAAACATGAATTCAGGGAATGTGTCAGTTATCTTTCTTTTGTCCCCTGTTTTTTTTTTTTTTTTTTTTTT